CAAATCTGTTTGCTGAGATGCTGTTTCAAAGAAGAAATTTAGTAGTAGTATGTCTATATGTTAAAGGAAATGTGTTATTTTAAGATATGATTATATTTGGGAAGGTTTAAAAAATACTCATATGTTCATTATTATATGGTGTATTTGGGAATGTTTTCAAATATTCAGTCACAAGGAAGTGAATCTATTTTTTTCTACTGTTTGGACAATGTTCTGTTCATTTAAAAAATATTTTGTTAAGTAATGTTTTCCCCAAAGGGCAGAATTAACACAGCTCTACTAAGATTGCTCCAATGTAGAGAAGATGGCAGCAATAGTCGATGTTGTCATTTTTTGTGGTCAGAGTTGTTTTGGTTTTATACAACTATTTCTTTAACTTAATAAGATTGGCTAATGTTTATATGAGTGTACTCTGTGTCAGGTACCAGCCTAAGTGTTTTTCTTAAATTAAGTCATTTAATAAAAAGCATCTCTGTTTTACAGATGAGGAAGCTGAGACATACAGAATTTAAGAAATGGACCCATTTTCACAAGTAGCAGAGCAATGAGAGATAAGGAAAATGTCTTGTTCATGCACCTTACTTTTGAAGATATACATTAGTTCCAATGTATACTGATGTTTTTCCAAACTCAGTAATTTGCACAATATTCTTCAGCAGGTACCCTACTTCAACAAGTTGTGCCCTCTCTCACCTATACCTTATTGGAGCCTCTGCGTAGCCTTACCACCATCCATCAGTCTCAGTAGAAGACTGTCCAACACCTAACCATTCCTCTGGTGTTCTCTATCAGAGGAGCCTGCCTTCCCCACAGTCTTGCCCTTCCAATGTATCTTCATCCTCTTCCAATGAAATCTCAACCTGACCCATTTTAAAACAAAGAAACAGGACAAAAATAAATGAAGTATCAGCTTTTCATCTGCCTCCTCTAGCTCCTTATTATCCAATTTGTCCCATCCCTTGAGTCGCTAACCTCTATATGTACAGTTCTCAAGTTCCCAATGTTTCATTAGCTTTGGAAATTGCTTCTATCTTTTTTCTTCCTTCTATATTTAACACTCAATGCTAAAATTGCTTCCAAATTACATAAGTTTCACTCCTTATCTTTTTCCACCTCTCTGTAGTGTTTGTCTTTGTAGGTCCCTTCCTCTTTCCAGGAAGTGCCTTATCATCTGCCCTTTTTTTTCCACTTTTCCTGCTGTAATCCAAGGTGACATTGCTACTTTCTGCAATGGCTTTTTAGCTGGTCTCCTTCCATTAAATGCAAGTCCTCTCTTATCAGTTCTCCACAAAGCTGCCTGAGAGTAGAGAGCCTACCTAAGCCACATATCTGATAGTGCCTCCTGTCTGTTTGAAAGCCAATGGGATGCATTTTGACCTTTTTACTTTAGAAACAATATGATATTACCGGGTTTTATTTTTCAAAAATGGTTATGCAAAAATATCCTTTCTACATGCTCTTCTCCAATGTGTTATTGACTTTTATACATTGAGAGATGGGGTCTAATTCCCCTTCTCGTGAACATAAACTGTATTTAGTGACTAACTTCTAAGGAATAGTGTGTGTGAAAGTAGGATGCGTGACTTCTAAGACTGGGTGACAAAAGGTGATGCCCACCGTGGGAACCCAACACATATCTGTAGGAATTCTGATCAGAGCCCCAGCTGAGGTTTCAGCTGACTGCCAGCATCAATGGCTCAACGTGTGAGTGTTGGAGCCTTCAGGTGATTCTGAGCACTGATGGGGAGTGGGGCAGAGACGAATTGTTCCTCCCAAGCCCTGTCTAAATGGCAATTCATAATAGGTAAATGTTCTCATTTTTTTAAGCCACTAAGTTTTGTGGGTTTTTCTTACATGGTAATAAACAAAACAAATATTTTTCTTCTTTTTTTTAATCTTTTGCCTAATCCTCCAGTCTCTAGTGCATCCTTAGCTCAAATTATATTAAACTCTGAAATTCCCTATAGTCACCATGTTTTTTCAGATCCCAAGGCTTTTGCAAATTCTATTCAGTTCTTTCTGGAATACTTCCCAACCACTGTACTTTTTTTGGGTGGGGCTATATTTTAACGCTCAATTCAAGGCACTTCTTCTAAATGACTTCTCATAACCCCCAATTTGCATTAGAATTCCATTCTTTCTTCGCATCGCATATAATGCTATATAGATGTTGGATTAATACAGAAATGAATTAATAAGTTCTAAGTGTATTACATTGCAATTAAAATCCATAATATACTAAAATACGATAAAAATAATGTAACAGAATTTCTCTGTTACCTTTCTAGTAAAAGTCAACCTTAGTAACTAATATTAATGTCAGAATCTTAAATATGAGCTGACAATAACAAACGGAGTAGTGTTAGCTCTGCTATGTTTCTGTTTCCTATCCTAGGGGAAATATAGTTGGTTGATGATTCCATTCATGAATTGTAATCTTATCATTTCAGATACCTAGGAAGTAGCGACAGTACTGGCATTTTATTGTTGCTTTTGAATTGTATTAAAAGTAAACCATCTCCTTGAGGCTCTTTGATGTGTAGAAATGTTCTTCTCCCAGATTTGAGTTATGGATACAGATCTTGCTCTGTAAACCTCATCTCTGCACAGTTCATCTCCCCTGTCAGTGCTTTCATTATCTCTCATCCCACCTCCACTTCCCCCACTACCTTATCTTGTCTCCCCATGCAGCTGTCTCCAATCACACTCTTTCGTGACCACTCCACTTCCTTTCTCTGCTCTCCTAGGACTTTATACCCTGTGTATACCTGTAGCAAATTGTTATGCTTCCTTTAACCATGGCAGATAATTCACAGGGGTCCAGTGAATAGCTGTATGACTCTAACATCCACAGCTGTTCTATGAATTTAAAATTAATTGACACTATGGTTCAGTGATAATTTTTGTCACTTTTTTCCTCAGTAAAAGAGATATCAGTCATGTACCGTCATGCGCTGCATAATGATGTTTCGGTCAACAACATACCACATATACAGTGGTGGTCCCATAAGATTATAATGGAGCTGAAAAATTCCTATCACCTAGTGGCATCATAATGTCATAGCACAACACATTACTCACGCATTTGTGGTGATGCTGGTGTAAAAAAACCTACTGTACTGCTAGTCTTATAAAAGTATACCGCATAGAATTATGTACAGTACACAATACTTGATAATGATAATAAACAACTATGTTACTGATTTATGATTTACTGTATTACGCTTTTTATCATTAATGTGGAGTGTACTTTTTCTACTTATATTTTAAAAAGTTTACTGTGAAACAGTATGCAGTGTTATGACGGCAGCAGCCTCATACATCTTGTGTTGACCATGTCTCCTAATTGCAACATTTCTCTTGTGCTTGATTTAGTCTCGTGTTGTTTTGTTCATCATGGCCTCTAAGCATACAAAATCCACTGGTAATGTTGCTAGTAAGAGGCTATATCCAGGAATGACCTGGAATCAAAATTAAAAGTGATTAAGGACAACAAAAATGGAAAATTAGTGATGGTTATTGCTTCCCAGTCAGGCATGTCCCATTCTACCATAGCTGCGATCTCAAAGAACAAGAAAAAAGTGGCAGAAGCAGTTAAAGGATCTGCTTCATTGAAGGCAAAAAGACTCTAACAAAAATTTCCTAAGGGCTTATGTCAGACATAGGGAAACTTCTAATGACCTGGACTGAAGACCACACACAAAAACACATCCCTCCCAGCACCAGGATGTAAATAACCAAAGCAAAAATTTTGTTTGCGATATTGAAAGAAAAGGCTAGATCCAACTACAATGTCGAATTTACTGCTAGCTCAGGGTGGTTTAAATGATTCAAGAATCATTATTCATTACCTAACATGAAAAGGAGTGGTGAGTCTGCAAATGCTGATGTGAAGGCAGCTGTAGAAATTTTGGAAACTCTAGATAAGCCAATCATGGAGGAAAATTACTTGCCAGGGCAAATATGCAATATGGATGAAACCTCCCTATTCTGGAAAGGGATGCCTGAAAGGATGTTCATCCATAAGGAGGCCAAGTCAATGTCAGATTTTAAGGTTTTTAGGGACAGGATAACAGACTTGCTTAGGAAAATCTTGCAGGCTACAAATTGAAACATTTTATGATCTGGCATAGTGAGAACCTCAGGGCCTTCAAGTGTATCAATAAGGACATACTGCCAGTATACTTACAGGAGCAATAAGTTGGGTCATGGATGACCCAGCTCCTCTTCCAAGATGCCCTTCTGAATTGCTATGCCAGCAAAATGGAGAAGTACTGTTTGGAGAATAACATACCTTTCAAGATTTTGCTTATTGTTGATAATGATTCTGGACATCCTCCTTTTATTGATGACCTTCATTCCAATATCAAAGCAGTATTTCTCCCTCCAAACAGCACCTCTTTGACCCAACCAATGGATCAGGAGTTCTAGCAGGTTTTAAGGCCTGCTACCTGAGGAGGACCTTTGCCCAGGCTATTGCTGCAACCGAGGAAGACTGAGAAGACACTGATGAAATTCTGGAAGAAATACAAATCTATGACTGCATCAAGAACCTTCGTTGACCTTAGGGTAATGTCACCAAGGAGTATATGAATGGCATTTGGAAGAACACACTCCAGAGTTTTGACCATGACTTCAAAGGATTTGCCAAGGATGAGGAGGTTACAAAAATCTACAAGACTGTGGTTGAGATGGCAAACAACTTTAACCTGGGTGTGGATGAGGATCACATTGAGGAGCTCCTAGAGGTGGTTCTTGAGGAGTTGAAAAATGAGAAGTTGTTGGAACTGGAACAGAAACACATATTTGAAGAAGAGGCAAGAGAAAATAAGTGCAAGAGAGGAAAAAGAAGGGACCTGAAGAAAATTCAGTCAAGGGTTTAACAGAAGCTTTTACAGACCTCAATAAGCTACTTAAAACTTTGCAAACATAGACTCAAACACTGAAGGTTTTTCATTAAGAAAACAGCACCATGGACATATTTCTGAAAGGAGTGATACCTCTTCAAGAAAAGCTTCAGGCAGGTCCTTAGGAGGTATTCCAGAAGAAGGCGTTGTTTTCATAGGAGATGACAGCTCCATGCATGTTATTGCCCTTGAAGACCTTCGGGTAGGACAAGATGTGGAGGTGGAAAACAGTTATATTGATGATCCTGACCCTGTGTAGACATAGGCTACTGTGTGTGTTGGTATGTTAGCTTTTAAAAAAAAGTTTAAAGAGTAAAAAGAAATTAAATAGAAAAAAGCTTATAGAATAAGGATACAAAAAAGGAGAATATTTTTATACAGCTGTGCGATGTGTTTGTGTTTTAAGCTGTGTTATTACAAGAGTCAAAAAGTTAAAAAAGTAAACGTTAATAAAGTAAAAAAATTACAGTAAGGTAACGTTAATTTATTATTGAAGAAAAAATGTTTTTTGTAAATTTAGTGTAGCCTAAGTGTACAGTGTTGATAAAGTCTACAGTAATGTTCAGTAATGCCTTAGGCCTCCACATTCACTCACCACTCAGTCACTGACTCATCCAGGGCAACTTCCAGTCCTACAAGCTCCATTCATGGTACGGGGCCTATACAGATATACTATTTTGTTTTATTTTGTTTTGAGGAAGATTAGCCCTGAGCAAACATCTGCCGCCAATCCTCCTCTTTTTGCTGAGGAAGACTGGCCCAGAGCTAACATCTATGTCCATCTCCTGTAGTTTATATAGGTGGGACACCTACCACAGCATGGCTTGATAAGTGGTGCCATGTCCGCACCTGGGATCCGAACCAGCGAACCCTGGCTGGCCAAAGGGGAACGTGTGGACTTAAGCGCTGCGCCACCAGGCTGGTCCCAGATATACCGCTTTTTATCTGTATTTTTTCTATGTTGAGATATGTTTACATACACAAATACTTACCATTGTGTTAAAATTGCCTACAGTATTCAGTACAGTAACATGTACAGATTTGTAGCCTAGGAGCAATAAGCTATATCATATAGCCTAGGTGTGTAGTAGGCTATACCATCTAGGTTTGTGTAAATACACTCTATGATCGCACAGTGATGAAATAATAAGCAATGCATGAGTGTAATCACAATTGCATGGCAGCATAGTATTTTCTTTGCATATTCACAGAAAAATTCTAAAGGGGTTTATAAATTCATCACTACGTATAAGTCCCAAGTTTTAAATTTCATATTGATGGAATGGAAAATTGTAGAAAGAAAGGAAAATAAAATTTTGCTTAAAGTTGTATATAATGAGAAGTTAAATTTCTGTATAACATTTTTATTGAGAGTATTCTTATGTTTATTAGAAATATGTGATTTTTTTAAAACACTATTGTATGATAATGTTCTCTTATTTTTCTGATAAGCAATAGATCATAAGTTCAAATTTGGGGCGCACTATAATTTATAAATTCAGCCACGATTAATACACAGCTGTCAAACTTAGAGAATGTGAAAAGAAACTTGAAAATAATATGAGGCTGACTCCTCAGCAAACACAACAAATGTATGATTCGAAAAATAAGTATTCTAGTCCCATATCTTCAATCTCTTTTTATTTTCATTTTGTATTTCATTCCTTGGATTAGCCAAAAGGGTGGTATCCAGAGGGGATTCTGTGCATGCAATCAATTGCAAATAGACTTTTCAGAATTTACTTATGCCCAAATACCCTTTGTGTAAAACAAGAAAGACTACAGAGGTTGCAGAAACATTATTTTCTCTCTGATTTGAAATATCCTTTCAAATTGTTCAAGAAGCCTGAAAATACTCCTGGGAGTCTTTTGGTGTTTAGTATTTGAAATATTAATAATGAAAATAGGCCAAAATTGGAAAATGAGAGCTTCTTCATATTAAAATGACCTACCTTGCAAAAGGTGGATTACCAACTTTAAACTCTTGGGCTTCATGCAAAGACATTGAATTTTTCATGGACCTAAGCAAGATTTCTTCATTTAAATTTTGAGCATACATCTGCCCACATACCTCTGTGCATTTGTTTAGAACTGAAGTTTACATGTAATTTTTGCTCCTTATAACTATTCATTTCTATAATAAAACAGTTCACTAGACAGTAAAAGACTCATAGATCTTTTTCAGTCACAACTTTTATTAACATGGAGGAAAAGTATAGGTCAACTTTGCCAAACTTTTTTAGCATCCTGTGAGTGTGATGGTTTAGCCTGATGCACTGTGAGGTGAAGCATAATGAAGTTTTTCTTGGGCTGAATGGCCATTGTAGTCACTTAGATTAATGGTTCCATGAGAAGATAAGGAGAAGTAACTGTGTGTTTACTAAACATTACTAACCCTGGTACAGCATGTGTAATTGTCAACTAGGCTTGACTCTGATACTAATCAGTAAATGTCCTTGAATAAGTCATATAAACTCTCCAGGCTAACTTGCCTACTCTGGGAGTATTCTAAACTGACATTAAAAGTCTTTTTAGCATTAAGAGTACAGATGTCTTAGATTCTTAACTGTGGATAACCCTAGACATATCTTAAAACTTAATGTTAGTCTAGAAATTTATTTATATAATTGAGATGATTGATATGATTAAATTGTAGAGCTTAATCACTGTATTAAAGGTTTGGAATATGAAATGTTAGCCTTTTATTTCTTTACAACAATGGTAACTTTATTAAGTGGAAATTTGACTCATTCTTTTGAAGAATACAAAAGTATTTAAGAATGAATTAATGTAAGTAAAGTTTTATAAGTAAAAAATAGTTCTAATAAATAAATGAATGTAACTTCATTTCAAATACTTTTAGTTGAAAACCTGTCATATGTCATTACCAAAGCCAGGTTCATAAGTCCTTATTGAGAGAATGTATTTTAAAGTTGTTCTATGAATGACAGTTAATAATCTCTTACCAAGGAATTATGTGTTTAGTTGAATTGTAGAACTTGGTTTTAATAAAAATAAAATGTTGAATCTTGAGCATTTCTCTGTTTTCTTTTCGAAGATTTATCCAAAATGACTTATGCATTTTGTCTTTGAAATAATGCCAGCGAGATTGAAAGGATACTGCCTTTTCAATATTGTCTTCATTCTATGTTTCATCATTTTCTTCAGAAATGTGAAACTTGAGTCACTGAAGGAGGGCTGCAATTTCAAAGCATACACCTTGGAATGGATTTTATTTTTGTATTTTTAGTTCAATTCTGGTCTACTAATTTCTGTGATTTCCAGACTTTAGAGATTGATGTTAGCTTTATTAGGAAAATTGTACAAATAATTTTAGACTACAAAATATTAAAGCTGGCATTATGTCTCACTGCTAAATGTACTGTCTCCAGTGCCTTATACTGAGTATGTCACTAACAACCATTTTTACTTTAATTAATTGACACTGAAGTATACTTCAACTTCAAGTATAGTCAACTGGACTTCAAAAATATTTCTTCTTTAAAACACAAAGCATCTCCTGTATGACTGATGTCACCAAGATGGTGACATAGTGCCAACAAAAATAATCCATAACCAATCTATAAATGCAAATTTGGGTGAGTTTATTCAGAGCCAAAATGTGAGGACCATGGCCTGGGGCCTTTCTTCCTGAAGGAAGACAAGGCACCAAAGAAGTGGGGTGCACAGAGTGGTGATATACCCTCAAAGAGGATGTTTCACATATGATTGAAATGTCCCTTTTACAATAGTCATGAGACTGCTCTGTCAGCACAGCGATTGATGGACACAGTAGGTGGGTCTACCATCTTGGTGGACATAGCAGGGTGGCAGTTCTGTCATCTCTAGGTGGGTGGTCACAGGTGAGCACAGCAAACAGTTCCTAGCCTAGGGAGAGAAGCTTATCCTTAAGGGAATGCCAATGTGGCAGGAAGTTGCACCTTTATTGTAAGGGCATTTGCTCTTGCCATAGTAAAAATGTTTAAAGCAAATATACAATGCATGCTCAATGGCTGTGTCAGGCCCTTTTGGATAAACAAAGACAGGCCGAATTAGGTTTACACCAATGGCTTCCTCATATACTCTAATATACCCTATTGCTTACCATTTCTATTTGTCAGGAGGCTTCTTAATTTCCCTCCTCCCTGTGGGTTTATTGGTTAAACAGGTACACAGTGATCAGTTTCCTCTAAGAGAAATCCAGAAACTAGTTGAGTGAGTCCTACACACTGGGTGGCTGAGAAAATGCCCATATAGAAATAGGCAGGAGAAGCTGGAACACACTCTTGGCATAAACTTAAGGCCCTTGAACAAGGCCTTAAGATTGAGAGGGAACCTCCAAATCCCAGCTTCTCCCTGAGGAGCAAATGGTTTGGATCATGCATATAGCACCTCAATCTTCTGCCACCCAAGGGTTAGGCCCCAAGCTGGCCTAGCTCTGAAAACCAATGGACCTGGCTTCCAGGAATCCCAAAAGACTATAGCAAACAAAGAAGCAGTTGTTAAATAGGGGCGTGAGCACTCCTCTCCTCACAGCTGTGCCCCCAGGGTTAAAACAGAGGAAGCCAACAAAAACACCTGTGTCACAGTTTTTCCCAGGAAAGGGTTTGACTGCATACTCTACCAGCTGCTGCCTGAGGGTCCAGCTTCTAATCAGCCTGCATTTTAGAGCTGACTAAGATCCTCCCCAGAGCCCAAAAGAGCAGATGGCTACTTCTCCCACCTTCTCCCTCCAGCTAGCTTCAACAATAAAAGCAAATCACCAGCATCTCCCTGGAAGGAGTTGTCCACACATCTGGCACTCCTGCTTTTATGGCTGCCACCTGAGGGACAGGCCCTGAGATCAGAGTATAAACAAATGAAGCAGAGCCTAGAAAGACAATAGAAAAGATCAATGAAAACTAAGAGCTGTTTTTAAAAAATATAAACAAAATGGACAAATTTTTAGCTAGACAAAGAAAAAGAATAGAGAAAACTCAAAAAATAAAATCAGAAATGAAAAATTAGACATTACAACTGATAGCACAGAAATGCTAAAAGATTATAAGAAACTACTATGAAGAGTTATACACAAAAAAATTAGATAAACTAGAAGAAATGGATAAATTCCTAAAAACATGCAGCCTACCAAGACTGAATCATGAAGAAATAAACCATTTCAAATAAAGAGAGCCATTACTAATAAGGAGGTTGAAT